GGCGCACGTGGTGCAATGTATAACAAGTAACCGGCGCCCACAGAGTCTCCTACTCGGACCCGACGTCAATGCCCTTGTTGGAGGCGCTGGAGCCCGGAACGCTGGAGCCCGGAAGACCCCAGGTGGGCGAGTAGAATTCGTCGATGGTCTCCTGCTTCACGACGTGAACCTGCTTGCCGACCCACAACCACGGGTAAGCCAAGCCCTTCATGAACAGCACGGCCGGGTTTTGTCCCGCATTTTCGCACTTACCCTCCGTCGGCATAGGTCTGGACTGCGTAGCACGCGTTGTATGGCCGCGACAATCGCTGAGTGAGCCTGAGGTGCGGATGTGCGGGGTCACGCACGCGGATAGTGCAGTCCGCAGCTCCGCACGACCCCGCTCCCGACTCCCGACAACGAAGGGAGACAGAGATCTTTTAGTACGCTCGTGAGCTGTGAACAGACGCACTCGCCAAATCCGCTAGGTTGGGCGTGCTTTCACAGCCTCACGAGAGTAAATTTTTAGCAATACCAAATCGACAACGATCTCGGCGACTGCGGTGAATGCGATATGCGAACCACATTCTGACGCCACCCCGGCCCCCAACGCCGCCCCCGACGTCGTAAGTCGGAACCGCTTACAGCTCCTCCGTGGATATGGGTCCGGAGGCTGCACTGCAGGGGCTCATGGGCGCACTCCGCGCTCGCCACGATCCTCCGCCGGGACAGCGCGCCGTCACGACCAATGAATGGCTGGAAAGCTGTCGACGAGCTCGTGCTCTGTGCTGTGAGAGGAGGGGGTGTTAGTGCTACTAGGTGGTGACAGTCTTATGGCAGCGACTGGACCAGACGCTGCGAATGTCGGGGCCCGCACGACCGGGTTTTTTCATCTTGCTCGCCAGCCTGCTTTGAGTGGCGCGAGCGTCGTGCGTGTGGCTGCGTGCCAGCCAAGCTCCGCCAACACCGCCAACATTCCATGGACAAATTCTGGGACACCTTCAACGCCACCGCCGCTGACCAGGCGAAGAACGGCCGAGACGCAGCAGCAGCGCGACAGGCGATTGAGCCGCGGAATGCGACCGCCGAGACGCAGCAGCCACCGCCGATGACGCCGACGCCGATACCGCCGCTGCCGCCACCACCGCCGACACAGCGACCCCCACCCCCGCCAGAGACACCACCGCTGCCAGTCGTTCCTCCGACGCCGTCAGTCGCTCGGCCCTCGTGCTCTGATAAAAACTGCAAGCACTGCCGTCCCGACTTCGATCGCGCCTACGACTTCTTGGGTCGAACAGAGGCTCGACTTCAACAGCGGCACGACCCCAGCGAGCGGAGGAGCAGATTCCGGTGGCACGATTTGCCGTGGCACGGCTTCGACGAGCACGGGATGCGCTGCAGCTGCTTCGACGTGCCGCGGAGAAGGGGTGTGCTCCGGGTGCTGCACCTCTTTTCGGGAGGAGAGCGGGAGGACGACGGCGGGCTCGTCGACTGCCTTGTCGAGCTCGGGAAGGCTCCCCTGCGTCATCGCGGAGCAACGAAGCCTTCTCGGAGCCTTCTCCGAAATCCGAAATCGGTTTCTTACTGTAGGAGCACGGCGTCTGCGTCGACGTGGTCGAGGTGGACATCCAGCTCGGCTGCGGCGACCAGTCTCAGCACAACCTGCTGACCCCGGCGGTCGCGGAGGGCGTGCGCCGGCTGTGCAGGAACCTCTTCTTCCTCTGCGGTACTCGTTCGTTCACTCACTCACCGCAAGCCGATTCATTGATTAGGGACGGCCAGATAGACGTCGTCTTTGCCGGCATCGTGTGCAGCACTCACACGCTGGCGCGCTTCCGCAGTGACGGGCTGTGCGCCCCATTGCGCGATCGCCGCCGCCCGCTCGGTCTTCCAAAGCTGACGGAGGCGCAGCAGCGGACGCTCAACGAGTCCAACGCCCTCACGCGCCTGAGTCTCGAGTGTTGCGCGCTCGTCTATGCCAACGGGGGGGAGGCCACCGTCCACACCGTCCACACCGTCCACACCGTCCACACCACCGCTACCTTGGAACCCTCGCCCACCCACTCCCGTCCGGTCCACCTCCGTCCAATCCTCCTCCTTCCACGCCGCCACCAGGCGATGATCGAGAACCCGGTCGACTACGCCTCAGAGGAGCGGCTTCGCCGCCCGTTTGCGGAACAGCAGGATCGCCACTGCCCCCTCTGGTGCGTCCCCGCCGTCGACGCGTTCCTCAAGTGCGCTTGCAATCGGAGACTGGTGGAGCACGAGCAGTGCGTGCTCGGCTCGGACTACATGAAGCCGACCGCTCTGCTCTCCACGGATGGCATCCAGGGCCTCGTGATACGCAACTTCGGGGACAAGCGCTGCGGCCCCACCACGTGCAAATATTTCATGAAGCCCCACCCCGAGAAGGCGATTGGGCAGGACGACGTGGGCAACTTCAAGTCCGCAAAGGCCGCCGCCTACCCGCCTAAGATGAACCGGTGCCGTTGCCGCCCCATCCTCTCGGCTCGAGCTCTTCTCAGCTGTTGCGGTCTCGATAGGCTTCTCGCCAACACATTCATCTGCCTCGCGGAGAAGTCCGCCGCGGCTGCGGCAGGGCTCGACGAGCAGTCGCACAATGCCCTCAAGTCTCTGTTTGGCCTCTCCCGCACCTACCAGACGGCGGAGGCGAAGGCTGCCCAGCTCCGGCAGGAGCGCACAAAGGCGCTCGCGCCTTTCTGGGTCGAGATGCACAAAGCCGACTACAAGGCGAGCTGCAGTCTGACCTTCAAGTTGGGCGCGACCTCGCGTGGGGCCGGGGGCGGGCGGGGTCCGGCGCAGCGGCAGCGACTTTTTTAATCTTTTTTTGGGCGAATTGACCAAAACACGCGGTTTTTCTTCTTTGCTGGGGCACAGAGCCATCGCGTACTGCCTCCGCTCGGCGTGGGGCATGATCATCGAGATGGAGCCGACTGCACACCTCAGTTCTCGCGCGCCTGTGAATCTCCATGGAGCGGCCGCACATCGCTCGGTCCCCCCA